CGAACTGTCTGACAGATCGCGCTCATTTTTGGCATAGTAATTAAGGACAGTGCTGCCAAACTACATAAACTTAAAATATCGAAAAATATACAGCGCGCGAATTTTAAATGAGGATTTCCGAAAGCTTTTCGGTCACATGTACATCAAAAGATTATTCAAATCATGTTTGGTTTTGGTTTTTTCGTCTATGACTACAACCGTACGCACGCTATAATTGTAAGCATGACAAGAGAGGGAAGCAAGGGCTCAAGTAGGCAACTAACACGACGCCAATAATTAAATGCTTGAAAAATAAGAAGTAATAATTTCAAATTTATGCACTGCATGTGCAGAAAACCAATCAAATATTTTGTGAAAAATATACAAAAACAAAGCCAGGCATCATCTTCAGAAATATTGCCTCACATACTCTTTCATACAAAATCTTTTAGAGTGTGCAATAAGAATGAAGAAGAGAAGATGGGTTGGTGCCATTTCTCTGTCCGCTCATCACAATTATGTTTTTTTTCCGCTATGACTCCATTCGTAGGCATACTAATAACTGTGTATGTGTGTATGGGTGCGCATTAATATGATATACATATGTCATGTTCTCTTTAAAATATTTGTACAAAACCTATTGTGTTGGTAATCAAAGGCAAATTGATTTGAAGTTTACAGGGTTATGCATTAAAATATGTGCAAGCGTTTTTATATTATGCAGTTATTTTTATTAAATTTCACTGCAATGCGAACAACAACTAGAGGTATGTTTTGTTGAATTTTTTTGTCATTATACTTGCGGGACTTTGTTTACATCAAATTATTATTAATGTAAATAAAGTCCCGTAATTTCATGTTCAATATTGTTGAAACAATCATGGTCGTCATGTAAAATACATACATACATATATTTAATTTAATAAATTTTTAAGTCAAAATCCATTTATTTTAATACATGACCCTGTTAACTTTAAATTTCGTATTGATTATTTTTTTGTTACTAGCAAAAATTTGTTAAATTTGTAATAACTATTTCTTTTGTTGGCCTGTATAAACAAATTTAAGGAAAATATTGCACACGCATATGTTATGTTATGTAGTTATTTTTATTAAATTTCACTGCAATGTGAACAACAATTAGAAATTTGTTTTCTTGAATTTTTTTGTCACTCTGTTTGCGGGACTTTGTTTACATCAAGAGATTATGGATGTAAATAAAGTCTCGTAATTTCATGGTCAATATTGTTAAAAAATCAAGGTCGTCATGTAAATTACATATTTTTAATTCAATCAATTTTAATTCAATCAAGTTGTTTACAGTTTTATTTTTACTGAATTCAAAAAATAATACATATTGAAAATTTGATCCTACAGGCGAAATATAAGTGGCAGTTCAACACCATCGGGCATGCAAATTATTGATTTATTTATTATAATTAATTAATTATAATTAGTATTTATAATTAGTAATATGTATATTTAGTTTTGTAAGTTGTTTGATTTTTCCCTGTTATATATATATATACTAGATAACCCGACAAACGCTGTTTTGCCTTATAAATTATTTCTAGTTTCTAGATAAATTCTAGTGTAGACAAAAAGTAACTTACTTATTATAAGTGTGTAAGTATGTGGTATATGCATGAAATAGGCATGGAGCGCTATGAACGAAAAGGATAATAAAAATAACAAACGCCAAACAATATTATTTTTAAGTTATTATAGTTTATTTATTAAATTATTAATTTAAAATCAATAGATTTTATGATACCAAGTTCCCTGGCAACAACTGTTGTATCTTCAAATTTAAATTGTCTTGGATTGACTGTAAATAATAATAATGATAATGGGCCAGTAACATTAACCAACAACAGTCGAAGATAAAAGTACTCAGTGTGTCTTGGATTAACTATAAATAAGCGTTTGATTTAAATAAATTGAGACATGCATCAACTGGTGAAACTTGCTTGCGGGGCATCCATTTTTTTGTTTAAGGCCATGTGAAATAGCGTGGTACTTGTGAATAGAGTAATGTTTTTGCAAAGGCACCAAAATCATCCGTACTATTAAACAATTCAAAAAATGCAGTGAGTGCAGATTTAGGTGGATTTGTACCACGATCAATCACTGTCTCGTTCGTGAAAAATACAAGCTGACCATTTTCAAGATGGACGGCTACCTGAACAGCTGCTGGATCCCGTTCATGAATTAGAAAGCCGAAGATACGCCAAGCAGCTTCATTGGAGGTGATGTACCGACCAATTTGGTAGAGCGTAATTTCACCGTTTTTGTTCATTGGAGGAGCATTTACATTAGTATTTTCTACTCTAAACACAGCCATACCACCGCCTTTATGGACATACTTATATATTTGATGCTCTTCACAGAACTGCAAAACTCAACATTAATATAAGCATTGTATGTCTTGCTTAGCAGAGGCGAATACGTTACCACCCGCCATTGTCCCCCATTATCGGGATTTCTTCGACGATATATTGGATATCCGTCGGTATTTGTTATAGTATCATTAGTGAAATCTTTAGAAAAATTTTTAGTACATTTTCCATCTGCCATGCAAGCCGAAGACGAAGAACGAAGTCGATGTAAATGCTCGATGTACTTGTTGGCGTAGTTACATAAAATATTAAGAAAAAATTTTTCTTTTTCAAAAATATAAACAAAATTTATGTCAAAAAAATAAAAAATTTTTTGTTAAGCACTAAGGATATTTTTACTGGGTAGGGACTCCCTAATCACTTTAGCGGTATGAAAAATAGATAGTAGCCGATTCTCAGACCTACTGAATACGCATATAAAATTTGGTAAAAATCGGTAAAGCCGTTTCGGAGGAGTACGGTAACTAACATTTTGACAATGTTAATTTTATATATAAGATACATTTGTATATATGTTTTCTTAAATTTAAACTATAATTTAGAAGAATAACAACTCCAAAATAAAATTTTTAATCATAATTACAAAAAAAAATCGTTATATCTTTATTATTGCTATTTTTTTTGGAAATAAATCACATAGTTAACATTGCACAGATAATTATTTATTAGTATGTTTTTATTTTACAGAAAGTATGATTCATAACAATAATATAATTTGTTTATATGTATGTTCTTGCGACACATAACTTTCGTGATATAATTTAGTAGTTTTCGTGAGAAAATTATGTGCTAAGTTATAACTCTAAGTACAAGATTGTTACATGACACACTATGATTTATTTCAATATTTTTAATTTATTCATTTGATATAAATTATACTTCCTAATATAAATCAATGTATTTTACTTATTTAAAGTAATTTATTGATTGATTTATTGATTTTATATAACTAAAACCGATTAACTTTTTTATTTAATATTTCTGAACATGAACTCTCCACATCTATCATTCTCAAAACTAATAACTAATTGGCATTCAACATAATGATTTTAACACTTAAACAACTTATTGCAATTATTAACAAATAAGAAATAAAAACAACGATAACAAATAATATATAAAGTAATGAAGGCATGAGTAGATCATCCAGTATACCAGCTTTAACAGGTTTCGGCTTCAAATATAGATAAATTAAGAACATTAAAGTAACTATTATAAGATATTTATTTAAAATACTTAATTAAATTCTTTCTGAAACTCTAAATATAATATACAAATCATTTATGTTTATAATTAATATTAAATAATTAAAAGCCAGCAATCAAGGATTCCCATTAAAGTGCTATCATTCGATCATACATCGAATTCTTCACTTACAAGTTTACAGCATCGAAAAGTACTAATCAACCAAGCAGTTCAGGGTAAATCAAGTAAACGTATAACGTATTTAACCAAGTTGATCAATTTACAAAATTTTAATACGTTTGTTTTTATTTATTTATGAGTGAAGCTTATAATATTTTTTTTTAATTATTTACTTTTTATTCTCAAATTAAATATGAAATTTAGAGCTTAGTTTTAAAACGAATAAAAAATAATTTTAATAATACTAAATATTTATGCATGATAATTATTTGCTAAACAATTTTCCTGCTTGCCTTTTTTTATGATAATATCCGTTACTTACGATTATCTCTTGCAGTGAGGGATATAATCGTTATATAATGAATACTTCACAATTATAAGCTCTCTTTTTATGGACATTACAGGAATTTCAAGTTCTTAATAACAAAAAAGTAAAAGGTGAAAAAAAACCGAAATTACATATTGTATTTTAAACGAAATTACTTTATTTTTATTACTTTACGTTATTTACTTACTACAATGTTGACAGTTTTATTTTTACTGAATTCAAAAAATAATACATATTGAACATTTGATCCTACAGGCGAAATATAAGTGGCAGTTCAACACCATCAGGCATGCAAACCCCAAGAAAGAGTTCACCTGAGCCAACATTTAGTTCAACGATGCGCAGAACTTCTCGTGGTACTACACCAGTCGAAAAACGTGAACCATTCAGACTTTAGAGTATATTTCAAATGTTTGAATAATACCCCTTAAACGAGTCCCAGAGAACATCAAATTGGAATCGCACAAATACATACTTTAACATGCAATAACAAATCTACAGTTTTGCAGTAATATAAAATAAACAAGAATAAGCAGTTATTTTTATTTTAAATTTTAAAAATATATGTATGTATTTTGAAGAGAAAGCTTCATATATTTACAAAAATATAGTCAGAAATACGAGTCTTGAACTGTATAAAATACGAAAATCGAAATTCAATAATCTTTATTCAAGTAACGTCCTAACATTCTGTAAATATTATATACATTTATAATTAAATGAAATATAAGTGTTTCTGTTATCATTGTATTTAATTAACAAAAAAACTCGAATCGAACCTTATGTTGTTGTATGAAGTTTTGAAATCGCCAGTTTAATTTGAAATGCAACTTCATATATAAATAATAAACAATAATAATAAAAATATTACGCAAATGAAATTCTTTAAAAATGTATATCAATTACACACGAAATAATATATAGTAAAATTTATGTACTAATAGTCATTATTATAACTTTTTATTAACTTACTTTTAGGATATACTAATTAATTTTTTGTTTATATTGTTTTTTACTTTTAATAATTTTTATACCATTATAAATATTGTAAATTACTAATACCAAATTACTAGGCAGTAATTTTGTAAAAACCTAATTAAACTAAAATAAATTTAATTGAAATTATTAACAAAAAATATTTTTATATGTATGTGTTTGTATTTATTTAAAAATAACAAGGATAATTATATTCAAAGATACCAACATAGATACTTAAGTTTTTATTTAAGTATTGATATTGAAACAAAATTTTTATTTTTTTTTTTACTTCAGAAAATATTTAAATACAATTAATGCGTTCAAAGATTTTCTTGTATACTATTACTATATTGACTAATCTATTGTAATAATCATCTCAAAAGCATAGATGGCTACTTTGTTTGATATAGAGACAGCATAAAAATTAATTAAAAGGATTAAATAGGTAGGCAGTCCCCGAAATACTCTATGTACACACAAATCACAAAATATTGGAACTCTGTTAGAAACATTTGACACTTAAAACTAATATTATATATGCTGTAAAAGATAATAGTGTCCTAAGTATACAACCTAACTGATGGAAAAAAAATTTTAATTTTAAATAAAATCAGAATTTTTTTATTTTATTGAAATTGAGGTATAAGTGTAACTCAATGAGGTAGATGCTCAAACTAGGCATTTAACTATCTAAGAAGTAAGTACAACAGTACAACAGTACAACAGTACAGGGAACAATTGAGATACATATGTATGTAAATGTGAGATTGTAAATGTTTTCTGCTTTCCGACAAAATTACCTTTTATATGCTTTTTGGCTACGAACCTTAAGTTTTAAATTAATCAACATATGTACCTACATATGTATTTGCAACTGTAATGTTTTAAATTCCCGAACCAAGTTATAAATTGGTTACATTACGGTTAGATCATTTATATTTTATTGAGATTATGTTTTACTGTTATCTGTAGATGTATTTTATGTGTTGTCACTGCCTTTGTGCACTAGGACTGACAAAGTAATATTTTAACAAAAATAACAAAAAACACCATCCATTCTTAACTTAATATTCTAGCTCAACATTAAATATTTATAAAAAGGAACGACTGCTTTATGTTGCGTAAGTTAATTCAAGAAGAAATACATATGTATCTTTTTTGTCTTTAAATATACATATGTATATCGTGAAGTTCATACGATTATTAACAATAGAAGCATACAAGTAAGTGCAATGTAAATTCATAATAATATATGCTACAATTTTAATAAAATGAAAATGTATATGTATGTATGTGGTCGCCAAAGAATTATATTACTTATATGTTCATATTAAAGAATAAAATAAAACGTAAATTATATATGTATGTATTCATAGATAATAAAAAATGGTAAAGGTACTAAAAACTAAAAGCTGTTAGATTACACGTTTCTATTAAGTTATATGCAAAATAAGTCATTTATTAAATAGCAGAAAATGCATTTTCAAAACTTGTTATACATGAACTCAAAAAAAATTTTAATTTCAAATTTATTGATTGTTTTCTGGCAGTTTATTAAAATAAAAAATTTATTTATTTGTTAAATGACCATTTCCGTTTTAATATATATATGTATTTTCACTGACGTATGGATGATTAAATAGATTATGTAGAGCAGAGTTGTAATAAAACACTCGAGTCATTAAAACCAGCTAAAATGATTTATGAAATGAACAATGTACAATTTTACTATGAAAGCATGTTATGCTTGTTATGTAAATGTAATAATAATGTTATATTACGCTAAAGAAATGTTTTAATTATAAGCATATGAATATTTTAATTATGTTTATTCAATATGAGAAAGTACAAAATTCTTAACTATTTACTTACCGCGACAAGGAAAATTTTTTTATAAGAACTCATCAAGTGCAAGCCAGCCGCCACCTACACGAACCATAACTGTGCTACGCAATATTCGCAATATTCGTAATTTTTGAGAGTCGAGTCGCCAAACTGTTTTATACAAAAATAATATTGTTTTAAATAGAAGATGGAGTATTAAGCTTTAAGATCCGATAATTAGTATTTTACGAACCCTATATTTCCCTTTGCCAACTTGAAATACGCAAAATTTTTGTCGACATGTGCAAAGGATAACAAGGCGTTTAACTTCATCATGTATTTTATCTGAATCAGTTGCTGGTTTGCGTTCTTGCCAATCGGGTCTCCACCATTACGATCAAAAAGATCTGCCACTGCACCCATTTCCATTCGAGAAGTGTCAAATTCTTTAAAAAATAAATAATAGGTATTCTACATTATTTAGTTATTCTACATTATATAAATAATCGTACTTATTATTCCATATATGAATTCGGCACGTGGTATTAAACCATTATTATCCTTATTCATTTTTCTAAACAAATCAGTCAAACGTGATTTTTTGTGATTCATATATGTATGTACATACCATAAGTATATATGAATATTTCAGGAAAAATATTTTAGGAAATATTTTAGGAAAAATATACAAAAACAAAGCCATGCATCATTTTCAGAAATATTGCCTCACATACTCTTTCATACAAAATCATTTAGAGTAGAATAAATAAAATGAAGAATATAAGAACAATTTAGTATTGATTATTTTTTTGTTACTAGCAAAAATTTGTTAAATTTGTAGTAACTATTTCTTTTGTTGGCGTGTATAAACAAATTTAAGGAAAATATTGCACACGCATTTTTTGTGTTATGCAGTTATTTTTATTAAATTTCACTGCAATGCGAACAACAATTAGAAATTTGTTTTGTTAAATTTTTTTGTCACTCTGCTTGCGGGACTTTGTTTAAATCACAAGATTATTGATGTAAATAAAGTCCCGTAATTTCATGGTCAATATTGTTAAAAAAATCAAAGTCGTCATGTAAAATACATATGTATGTATATTTTATTTAATAAATTTTTTAGTCAAAATCCATATTCTTTAATAGATGACCCTATTAACTTCAAATTTTGTTAATAATTGCAATAATGATGAAATGAAATTTGTTAAAAAATTCAGCTTCAGTTTCAGTTTGAAGGATATATGCATGTATGTTTGACTAATAAAAAATATTGAATACTGATGATGGGTATAAATTACATATGTAAATAATATTGTTCAGTCTTCAATTAATTTCTACCGATATTAGTTTATTTAATAATACTTAGATGACACATCATTACTTTGCACACATCATTACTTTTGATTTCAGTTATTATTTAACGTGCTAATATTCTACATTAGCGGTTTTACAAATAAAGTAAATATAACAAATACAACTTTTGTTTTACATACATATGTATTTACATAAATAAGGTATAAAAACATTACACAAATAAATAATATAAAAACACAATAAACATATAAAACATACATTAAAATATTATGTATTCAATAATTATTTAAAAACACAATAAACATATAAAAGAAATAATAATAATATATTATTAATAAAATCCATCTTATTTAATGGATGACCCTGTGCGCTTCAAATCATGTTTGGTATTGGTTTTTTCGTCTATGACTACAACCGTACGCATGTTGTAACTGTAAACAGGACAAGAGAGGGAAGCAAGGGCTCAAGTAGGCAACTAACACGACGCCAATAATTAAATGCTTGAAAAATAATAAGTAATAATTTCAAAGAATTTATGCACTGCATGTGCAGAAAAGCAATCAAATATTTTGTGAAAAATATACAAAAACAAAACCATGCATCATCTTCAGAAATATTGCCTCACATACTCTTTCATACAAAATCTTTTAGAGTGTGCAATAAGAATGAGGAATAGAAGATGTTTGGTGCCATTTCTCCGTCCGCTCATCACAATTATGTTTTTTTTCCGCTATGACTCCATTCGTAGGCACACTAATAACTGTGTATGTGTGTATGGGTGCGCATTAATATGATATACATATGTCATGTTCTCTTTAAAATATTTGTACAAAACCTATTGTGTTGGTAATCAAAGGCAAATTGATTTGAAGTTTACAGGGTTATGCATTAAAATATGTGCAAGCGTTTTTATATTATGCAGTTATTTTTATTAAATTTCACTGCAATGCGAACAACAACTAGAGGTATGTTTTGTTGAATTTTTTTGTCATTATGCTTGCGGGACTTTGTTTACATCAAATTATTATTAATGTAAATAAAGTCCCGTAATTTCATGTTCAATATTGTTGAAACAATCATGGTCGTCATGTAAAATACATACATACATATATTTAATTTAATAAATTTTTAAGTTAAAATCCATTTATTTTAATACATGACCCTGTTAACTTTAAATTTCGTATTGATTATTTTTTTGTTACTAGCAAAAATTTGTTAAATTTGTAATAACTATTTCTTTTGTTGGCCTGTATAAACAAATTTAAGGAAAATATTGCACACGCATATGTTATGTTATGTAGTTATTTTTATTAAATTTCACTGCAATGTGAACAACAATTAGAAATTTGTTTTCTTGAATTTTTTTGTCACTCTGTTTGCGGGACTTTGTTTACATCAAGAGATTATGGATGTAAATAAAGTCTCGTAATTTCATGGTCAATATTGTTAAAAAATCAAGGTCGTCATGTAAATTACATATTTTTAATTCAATCAATTTTAATTCAATCAAGTTGTTTACAGTTTTATTTTTACTGAATTCAAAAAATAATACATATTGAAAATTTGATCCTACAGGCGAAATATAAGTGGCCGTTCAACACCATCGGGCATGCAAATTATTGATTTATTTATTATAATTAATTAATTATAATTAGTATTTATAATTAGTAATATGTATATTTAGTTTTGTAAGTTGTTTGATTTTTCCCTGTTATATATATATATACTAGATAACCCGACAAACGCTGTTTTGCCTTATAAATTATTTCTAGTTTCTAGATAAATTCTAGTGTAGACAAAAAGTAACTTACTTATTATAAGTGTGTAAGTATGTGGTATATGCATGAAATAGGCATGGAGCGCTATGAACGAAAACGAAAATAAAAATAACAAACGCCAAACAATATTATTTTTAAGTTATTATAGTTTATTTATTAAATTATTAATTTAAAATCAATAGATTTGTATGATACCAAGTTTCCTGGCAACAACTGTTGTATCTTCAAATTTAAATTGTCTTGGATTGACTGTAAATAATAATAATGATAATGGGCCAGTAACATTAACCAACAACAGTCGAAGATAAAAGCACTCAGTGTGTCTTGGATTAACTGTAAATAGGCGTTCGATTTAAATAAATTGAGACATGCATCAACTGGTGAAACTTGCTTGCGGGGCATCCATTTTTTTGTTTAAGGCCATGTGAAATAGCGTGGTACTTGTGAATAGAGTAATGTTTTTGCAAAGGCACCAAAATCATCCGTACTATTAAACAATTCAAAAAATGCAGTGAGTGCAGATTTAGGGTGATTTGTACCACGATCAATCACTGTCTCGTTCGTGAAAAATACACGCTGACCATTTTCAAGATGGACGGCTACCTGAACAGCTGCTGGATCCCGTTCATGAATTAGAAAGCCGAAGATACGCCAAGCAGCTTCATTGGAGGTGATGTACCGACCAATTTGGTAGAGCGTAATTTCACCGTTTTTGTTCATTGGAGGAGCATTTACATTAGTATTTTCTACTCTAAACACAGCCATACCACCGCCTTTATGGACATACTTATATATTTGATGCTCTTCACAGAACTGCAAAACTCAACATTAATATAAGCATTGTATGTCTTGCTTAGCAGAGGCGAATACGTTACCACCCGCCATTGTCCCCCATTATCGGGATTTCTTCGACGATATATTGGATATCCGTCGGTATTTGTTATAGTATCATTAGTGAAATCTTTAGAAAAATTTTTAGTACATTTTCCATCTGCCATGCAAGCCGAAGACGAAGAACGAAGTCGATGTAAATGCTCGATGTACTTGTTGGCGTAGTTACATAAAATATTAAGAAAAAATTTTTCTTTTTCAAAAATATAAACAAAATTTATGTCAAAAAAATAAAAAATTTTTTGTTAAGCACTAAGGATATTTTTACTGGGTAGGGACTCCCTAATCACTTTAGCGGTATGAAAAATAGATAGTAGCCGATTCTCAGACCTACTGAATACGCATATAAAATTTGGTAAAAATCGGTAAAGCCGTTTCGGAGGAGTACGGTAACTAACATTTTGACAATGTTAATTTTATATATAAGATACATTTGTATATATGTTTTCTTAAATTTAAACTATAATTTAGAAGAATAACAACTCCAAAATAAAATTTTTAATCATAATTACAAAAAAAAATCGTTATATCTTTATTATTGCTATTTTTTTTGGAAATAAATCACATAGTTAACATTGCACAGATAATTATTTATTAGTATGTTTTTATTTTACAGAAAGTATGATTCATAACAATAATATAATTTGTTTATATGTATGTTCTTGCGACACATAACTTTCGTGATATAATTTAGTAGTTTTCGTGAGAAAATTATGTGCTAAGTTATAACTCTAAGTACAAGATTGTTACATGACACACTATGATTTATTTCAATATTTTTAATTTATTCATTTGATATAAATTATACTTCCTAATATAAATCAATGTATTTTACTTATTTAAAGTAATTTATTGATTGATTTATTGATTTTATATAACTAAAACCGATTAACTTTTTTATTTAATATTTCTGAACATGAACTCTCCACATCTATCATTCTCAAAACTAATAACTAATTGGCATTCAACATAATGATTTTAACACTTAAACAACTTATTGCAATTATTAACAAATAAGAAATAAAAACAACGATAACAAATAATATATAAAGTAATGAAGGCATGAGTAGATCATCCAGTATACCAGCTTTAACAGGTTTCGGCTTCAAATATAGATAAATTAAGAACATTAAAGTAACTATTATAAGATATTTATTTAAAATACTTAATTAAATTCTTTCTGAAACTCTAAATATAATATACAAATCATTTATGTTTATAATTAATATTAAATAATTAAAAGCCAGCAATCAAGGATTCCCATTAAAGTGCTATCATTCGATCATACATCGAATTCTTCACTTACAAGTTCACAGCATCGAAAAGTACTAATCAACCAAGCAGTTCAGGGTAAATCAAGTAAACGTATAACGTATTTAACCAAGTTGATCAATTTACAAAATTTTAATACGTTTGTTTTTATTTATTTATGAGTGAAGCTTATAATATTTTTTTTTAATTATTTACTTGTTATTCTCAAATTAAATATGAAATTTAGAGCTTAGTTTTAAAACGAATAAAAAATAATTTTAATAATACTAAATATTTATGCATGATAATTATTTGCTAAACAATTTTCCTGCTTGCCTTTTTTTATGATAATATCCGTTACTTACGATTATCTCTTGC